TGAATATAATAGCAGGGGATAAACAGGGAAGGGCATTATCTATGGTAACATTAAACTGTAAAATGATTGTAAAAAGCATGATTTACAGTTCAAATACAGGTTTTCACAAAAACAAAACGTTTAATGATAATGACCTTCACATCTCAGCCTTTAAACCATTTTTAAGAAAATGGAATGGGGGGGGAAAAAACTATTGTTACTATAGTTAATTCATGATAAGGCTGGCTCGTTTTTGCATTCGAATGTGGATTTTTATTTTAAATTTGACAAATATTCTAAAAAATTTTAACAGCCCTAGTAGCCACAAATTAACCATGGTTTTGCTAAACTAACCAGGGCTGGAAATGGGTGTAATGCGGGGGACGGAGTCTGGGGAGTGAATTTCGAGGGGGGGGAACGTTCCAGCTCCAACCATTTAGATTTTTTGGGAAATTAAAGGGATTTCTATGTTATATTCATTCAATAGCTTACGCACATAAACGTAGCACAATATATAATAATAATCATTTTTTAATGAATCTTTTTGAACAGTCACTTGCTTCGTTCCTGAATGAATCAGCTGTTTGAACAAATCAACTGAATGAATGATTCAGTGACACAGACAGTGACTTGCCGCCACCTATTTAAATAATTTAATCTCTATATTCATAACTTTATTTAAAACATAGGTCTTCAACCCTGTTCCTGGGGACCCACTGTCCTGCAAAGTTTATTTCCAACCTGCTTCAGCACACCTGGCCTGCGACTTTTCAAGTGATCTTGAAGACCTTGATTACCTGATTCAGGTGTGTTTGATTAGGGTTGGAGCTGAACTCTGTAGGACAGTGGGTCCCCAGGAGCAGGGTTGAAGACCTATGATTTAAAACATTCATCACACAAAATTGTTATTATGAATTTAAACGCTTTCATGCCACCTCTGAGCCTCATTAAACAGTCTGTAAATATACCTAAATAACACTTTTGTGTTCTTCTGTGCCACCTCTGTAGTGCAAAGATACATTTTTTTGATATTGATTTAATTTGATTGGTAATAATAAAAAAACACTTAAGTTTATAAATATAACTACACAGGGTGCCTTTGATCTTGATACCTAAAAAAGCATATGGTTTAGAGCAAACATGAAATAAGTTTAATGTTATAGATTATAAAAGTTTTTATAATAATAACAAATAAATAAATCATTTTATATAATAAATAAATCTGAAAGTACGTCTAAAAGTTACCCCAACCAAAGACTATATAATACCCAAGACATGTCACTCGTATTGTTTTGAATGGGGAAAAATGCAACGCTCAATATGGCCGCTCTAGCAAACGAAGCCCCGCCTTCTGAGCAAAAGAGCCAATCACTAATCGGTAAAGCCAGCACATCACTGCAGCTGCCGTTAGAAGTCCCGGTTGCTATAGAAACAGTCAGTGTTCTGAGACGTGCATGGTTATACAAATGGTAGTCAATATGCTAAAAAAAAAACAAAAAAAACATGGTTACTACACTTTTACTTTTACAAACCATGGTTAATTTTCATAAGGGAAAACTATCAATTATTAATGTAAACAACTATTATCAATCAACTATTAATTAAATATATTTTATTTAGCTTTCTTAATTGTTTACATTTTTATATTGCATTATCTTCTTGTTAATCCACCAGTTCACATTTACAACTATGCGTGTTTGCAGCGTAAAAACATGGGTTGATTTTCACACTGTATGTTCAAAAACAGCAACCAGTCCAGCAGGAGGCGCTTTTGAAGCGGCAGAAATACTGCGGTTTCCCCGGTAACGGCAGTAAACAAAGCAGCCAGCAGCTAACTGAAATGTGCAGCGCTCATATTTTTTTAGATATTGATTTAATTTGATTGGTATTAATAAAAAAAAACTTAAGTTTATAAATATAACTACACAGGGTGCCTTTGATCTTGATACCTAAAAAAGCATATGGTTTAGAGCAAACATGAAATAAGTTTAATGTTATAGATTATAAAAGTTTTTATAATAATAACAAATAAATAAATCATTTTATATAATAAATAAATCTGAAAGTACGTCTAAAAGTTACCCCAACCAAAGACTATATAATACCCAAGACATGTCACTCGTATTGTTTTGAATGGGGAAAAATGCAACGCTCAATATGGCCGCTCTAGCAAACGAAGCCCCGCCTTCTGAGCAAAAGAGCCAATCACTAATCGGTAAAGCCAGCACATCACTGCAGCTGCCGTTAGAAGTCCCGGTTGCTATAGAAACAGTCAGCGGTCTGAGACGTGCATGGTTATACAAATGGTAGTCAATATGCTAAAAAAAAAACAAAAAAAACATGGTTACTACACTTTTACTTTTACAAACCATGGTTAATTTTCATAAGGGAAAACTATCAATTATTAATGTAAACAACTATTATCAATCAACTATTAATTAAATATATTTTATTTAGCTTTCTTAATTGTTTACATTTTTATATTGCATTATCTTCTTGTTAATCCACCAGTTCACATTTACAACTATGCGTGTTTGCAGCGTAAAAACATGGGTTGATTTTCACACTGTATGTTCAAAAACAGCAACCCGTCCAGCAGGAGGCGCTTTTGAAGCGGCAGAAATACTGCGGTTTCCCCGGTAACGGCAGTAAACAAAGCAGCGCAGCAGCTGACTTTGAAACGTGCAGCGCTCATGTTTATTTAATAAATTCATAGCTTTCTGAAATTTAATCGTCACATTAGGCCATATCACAATTCTTGTCTTTCTTGTCCCCAAATTTAAGACCCCTTGAAATCATAATTAAGACTTTTTATGGCCTTAAATTTGATACAACTAAATTTAAGACTTTTTAAGCACCTGCGGAAACCCTGCTACCTCTCAGACAAGTTTCCTACATTAAATTTTTGTACATAAAACACACAATACGGATATTGATGCACAAACATGAATTTGTTCTAGATATCTAAAGTATATAAAAAGAATAAACCAGTCTGACAATCTCCATAATTTAGCTTAAATTGTGAAACTGACAGGCTCTGCTGTTCACAAGGGAACATTTTAAGCTCTGGACTACATGACGACATAATAGGTGCTTATAATAAACACTGAATAATACTAAGGAAGTTTAAAAGCAAGTAAGCCTTCATATCATGTAGCCACAGCGTGATTAATTAATTAACATGTTTCTCCACTCTTTAAAAATAGAAAAAGAATCGAAAACACCACCAAAGAACTGACTCCAGTGTTGATGCTAGAAATAAGGAATCAAGAAGTCGATTCTAAAAAATTTGGAATCGAACAGCCCTACTACAACTCAGCTCTTTTTTCCTTGATCTGCTCAATGTTACATAGGCATGCTAATTCAACGTTAAGGCAAAGCAAATCCGAATACCTCATCCTTTCAGACCAGCCACTGTAACTATGTAAAAGATGACAGTTTCCCCAAATTCTGGAAACTACATGACTAAATGCAATTGTTGACCAACAAATCTTTATTGGCGATTATGGCATAATCTGCTTTACCTCTCTTTTGTGCTTATGTGTGGCAGTTGATGCACTGTTGGTAATGTGGCAGTGTAGCCAGTGATAATGCCTTAACAGATGGTTCAGAGAAGATGTCAGATTCTCAGCCAAGTAAGAATGAATCCAGCCTTGCATGCAAATACATATCCCCACTGGAACAATCACAAATCCCTAAATACTAATCTACTCTATAATAATAGAGTATCAGGAAAAACACTGGTGTTAGGGTAAAGATATGGTTAGGGTAAACTGCATAGACAGAACAAGACAGGCAGAATAAGACTCTTACTTAATGGCCCAGATGGAACCTGCACTGACACACTAGCTTTCAAAAGTTTGAGGTCAGTAAGATTTTTTTCTTTTTTAAAAGAAATTAATACTTTTATTCAGCACATTAAATCAAAAGTGATAATAAATACATTTATTTATGAAGGTTACAAAGGATTTTTATTTTAAATAAATGCTGCTCATTTCAAGCAATCGTGACAAAAACTTAGCACAGTTTCAACCAAAATATTAAAGGTGCATTAAGCGATTTTTGAAAAACCTCGGACCAAGCCCCAAAACAAACTCGCAGCCAATCAGCAGTAAGGGGCGTGTCTAGTGATGATGAGGAGAAGAGAGCGCTCAGTGAGTGCACAGGACGGATATTAGCAGATTGCCTATAGATAGCGAGAGATGGCAGATAAAAACAGAGAAAAATTTCAGAGGAACAAAACATTCAAAAGAAGGGTTATGATCAGGCAAGAGGTAGGACCCACGTAAATACTGGAGCAGCTTCCAGCCATTGAAAGAACTCAAGGAGCGGGAAGGCCTGGAATCGGACGCAGAGGTTGCTTTGTTTCTTCTTGATAGGCGAGTTATGTTGATTTTGATTTTTCACACAACTATTCTGTGTTGGCATTTGCTTGAATATGCTTGGATGGCAGTCATAGCAGATTCTGCCATCGTCGCTGCCATTGTGAATGTATGTGTGGGGCGGAGTTATCAAAATAGGGGCGAGGTCCTGTTGGGGTATGGGCGTGTTTGTTTTGGTGCTTTCAAATATCAACATCCTTTGGCAAAAATTGCTTAGTGCACCTTTAAGCAGCACGACTGTTGTCAACTTTGATAATAATAAGAAAAGTTTCTTGAGCACCCAATCGAATTTTACTGTATTTTTGATCAAATAAATGCAGCCTTGGTGAGCATAAGAGATTTATTTTAAAATCATTCAAAAAAGCTTTTGAATGGCAGTATATTGGCGAGAAATCAAAAACAATGTGTTAAAGCTACTTTGAGTGTACTACACACTTATTAGTGGCTAAATACATAAACATGTTAGCCTAAATATTGAAAAATAAATAAATAAATGCACAAATGACTGTGGAAATGTAGAAATCTTTGAATAACAGGGTTTCAGTGTCCAGTGGGAATCTGTGAACCTGATTTCTGCAGGTGCAGATTCTATGTGGGCCTCTTGTTGTAGATTATTTCAGTCGAAGAATACGCATTCACCTCAATACTGAAGTATCCTCTGTCCACATAATCGCCCAGGAAGAGATAGCGCGTGTTGTCGGGGGAACCACCAACTTCAAAGAGCTTCATGAGGTCGAAGAACTGTCCGTGAACGTCACCACATACTACAGGTAAAAAGGAAGCACAACAAAAGCTTAACATGATGCATCACTTTCAGTGAATGGTACTTAATGCCTGCCTCATACTGAAATCAATGGCAATTGTAAGCAAAGTGAAACGGTAAAAGGTTTTTTGTATCACATCACATTTAACACAAATGCCATAGAGATAATGGACTGGACGGCGACCAAACACTTCACATAAATCCATCCTACCTGCATCATCTAGCCAGCAACGGTCACATGTACAAGACTGCACTGTCACTTAGCAACAACGACACTATATCTGAAAATACAGAGGCTGGATCCATTTATAAAACAGGCTGTATCTAGAACCAGAGGGGTTTGTGACATCTATTAATTCGTGTTTCAAAGGCAGCAATATCTATAGAGGACAGATGAGCTCTAATTCATCTGCATCATAAAATACTGTGGCATGACGCACACAACAGCTCGAAGAATTAAACCTTGAAGCACAACATCTTCATCAAATAATTGAGTAAGTTTAACAGGCTCTCTGTTTGTCACTGATAAGGCCCAGCTGAATTTAAGATTACCCAGATGCGATGCAGATTCTTGTGTATAATCTGTAAATTCCCATTATACGATTTCCTGTCACTCTCTTCTATCTATCTGTCAAATAAAAGAAGCAAAAGCCCATAACTAATTTACTATTATGCAATTTCTCATAAACCAGTGTGATTAGAGATGGGTCAAAATGGTTGACTAATTTTCCAACATCTAAATAAGCAATTATTGAGGTCGACTGGTTTATATAACCTAGACATAACTTTTTTTAAATATATTTTAGCATCTTTAATTAGTGTGCTCGTAAAATCAATGTGCACAGTAAAACCTGCTTTAAAAAGTTTACATTCATCATGAATTTAAAATTATTACTACTATAATTATCGACAAGTGAATTTAGGCAATACAAATTTACAGTATGAAGAGAATGAAAAGTATATGTAGTATGAAAAAACTAGTGCTGTCGAATCGATTAATCGCGATTAATCACATCCAAAATAAAAGTTTGTGTTTACATAATATATGTGTGTCATCTTCATCAAATAATTGAGTAAGTTTAACAGGCTCTCTGTTTGTCACTGATAAGGCCCAGCTGAATTTAAGATTACCCAGATGCGATGCAGATTCTTGTGTATAATCTGTAAATTCCCATTATACGATTTCCTGTCACTCTCTTCTATCTATCTGTCAAATAAAAGAAGCAAAAGCCCATAACTAATTTACTATTATGCAATTTCTCATAAACCAGTGTGATTAGAGATGGGTCAAAATGGTTGACTAATTTTCCAACATCTAAATAAGCAATTATTGAGGTCGACTGGTTTATATAACCTAGACATAACTTTTTTTAAATATATTTTAGCATCTTTAATTAGTGTGCTCGTAAAATCAATGTGCACAGTAAAACCTGCTTTAAAAAGTTTACATTCATCATGAATTTAAAATTATTACTACTATAATTATCGACAAGTGAATTTAGGCAATACAAATTTACAGTATGAAGAGAATGAAAAGTATATGTAGTATGAAAAAACTAGTGCTGTCGAATCGATTAATCGCGATTAATCACATCCAAAATAAAAGTTTGTGTTTACATAATATATGTGTGTGTACAGTGTATATTTAAATACACACACATACATGTATATATTTAAGAAATATTAAATGTATACATATTTATATTATACATAATATAAATGTATATTATACATACAGTAATATAATATTTATATTATACATCATATAAATTCAATAGATTTATATTATACATAAATATAATATATATTACATATATTTCTTAAATATGTATGTGTATACATATAAATATACACAGTACACACACATATATTATGTAAATACAAACTTTTATTTCGGATGCGATTAATCGATTTGACAGCACTCAAAATTGGCTAAAATACTTTAAGTAAGCTTTAGATGACAACAAAGGTTTAGGGGAAATGAGCATGCACAATTAAATATCCAATATTGCCCGACTGATAGAAAATCAATCGATCAATTAAAAATCAATTTAAAAGCTGCAACCCTAAAATCACGCATCCCTAATTTTTTTAATAGTAAATTTGAATGTAGACAGGAAAGTGGCTTAATTCAATCAGGGTCAGGTGCACTCAAAACCAGACATAATATGAAAGTCTTCCTTTAGAGCAAATTAGCTGACTTGCCATTCAGGCAACACTCCATTTAGTTGATTGGTTTTTGCACATCCCTCCTAGTGTCCACTGAAGCATCACTGAACACATTCCGCTGCAGGATCTGTGACTGTTTCCTGTGTTGCGCTCCACTGATCTGCAGACAGCATCTCCAAATGAGTTTGCCGCAGCTGATTCTCCAGTGACAGTTTGTAACACTAAATCAGGTAATCTCTACAAAGAACTCAACAGCAATGCCAATATGGTGTGCCTGATGAAAACGGTTTTCACAGATGGAGTATGGGCCTACTTGAAAGGTTACTTATCAACCAAACCAATCGTTTTATGACTTATTATTTTATTGTTGGCTGAAGATACACACACTGATGCCAATGAAGTGTAATAATGAATATCTGAAATGTTGCATGAAGTTTCCATGAGGGAAAAAACACCTTTTTTGGAGCATTTTTTCTTAGGAACTAGATTCAGCCACAGCAGAACAAAACCACAAGTCAGAACAAAGTGCGTTTTAATCAAGACAGATGGTCATCTCCCTCAAGCCCTACTAAAGATGCTCTTGCTTTCTTACCAGTGATTGGAGCCTCCACCTCTAGCATGCACTTCTCCTGCCTTAGGATGTTGGCACCCTCGTTTATGATGCGCAGCGCAACGTCTTCCTCCACACGTCCCTCTTTGATCAAATGGTTCTTCAGTATCTCAGCATTGGGCTTACCATCCACATATAGGTCCTTCACTGTCAGTCGCTGGTGAGGGGGCAGTGGCACTGCTGTAGGTACAACAAGAGCAAAATATCAGTTGATAATGTGCTCAACTTTTACAACATTAGCAAGGCAGCTGCAAGTATGGAAACCAAGCTTCAGTCATAGAAAAGAGGAGGTACAAAGTATGCCCACTACAAGTGATAAAGAGCCAATATAAAAGAGTTGAGGAATAAAAGGTCATTTAATTATTCAAACATAATGTTAATAAATCACTTTTTAAATGGTTAATAGACATACAATACATTTCAAAAGTTTGGGGTCAGTAAGATTTTTTAAATGTTTTTGAAAGTCTCTTATGCTCACCAAGGGTGAATTTATTTGATAACAAATACAGTAAAACGGTAATGAAATTATTACGATTTAAAATAACTGTTTTCCATTTTAAAGGGGTTCTATTATGTTTTTTCACTTTTTGTAGTTTAGTCAGTGTGTAGTGTGCATGTTTGGGCATAAAAAAGATCTACCAAGTTACAAATCTCAAAGTCCACTCCAAAGAGAGATATTTCGTTTTTAAAAAATCCCTTTTCAAGAACTACAACGAACGGCTCATTTGGACTACAGCGTTGTTTTCCGGGTTTTGTGATGTCAAGAATATCATTAAAATAATTCCCGCCTACGGGAACAAGACGACGACGACAACGAAGAAGTGCTGCTGAAGCATCAAGTTTTCACAAGTTATTACACATGCACCTGAATAATTTTGTATGTAAATATGTTACAATTATGAAAAAGTTGTTTTTTATAAGTTGCTGACAGTACAATACTGGACAATGATGTAATCTGCAGAATTTACACTTCAATTATGAGACTATGGTATAAATAAATTAAACTGTATAACAGTTTCACTGCAATGTTATAATGTTAGAATTAAAGAAAAATAAACATAATACATATTACCGTTGCACTTATCTGTACATAGTAAATGCAGTTATTTTTAAGCGGTTGTTGACATCCTATCTAAAACGTGATTTAGCCACAAAAAAAAAACAATAACGTTGCCACTCTAATGTCTTGCAATATCCGTGCATGCAAAGGTTCTGCACGATCCTCTTGTTCAATATTCTCTGAGTCTGAATCCGGCTCAAATTGATATGGCAATATTGACGCCATCCTTAACTAAACCGGAACAGATGGAACTTGCTGCTTTGGCAAGGGGGCGTGGCAGTACTGAAACACCGTCTAAGCTGTTCGCCGATCACAACGCACTGGGACAGCTAACCAATCACAACACATTTCGTTTTTCGGAAGGCAGGCCTTCATCAAAGCCGGAACTAATCGAGCCGTTTGTGCCAGGCTGGGGAGAAAGTTATATTAATAATGTAAATTATGTGAAAAAGAATGCGTTTTTTGAAACAAGAAGCATGAGAGCATGTTCTAGTACACCCCTAAAACAAAATCAAGACTTTGTAAAAGAGCATAATATGTAATTTATTCTGTGATATCAAAGTAAAATTTTCAGCAGCCATTACTCCAGGCTTCAGAGTCACATGATCCTTAAGAAATCATTCTAATATATTGTCTTGGTGCTCAAGAAACTTATCAATTTTGAAAACAGTTGCTTGATATTTTTGTTGAAACCTTGATATATTTCTTCAGGCTACTTTGATGAATAGAAACAGCATTTAATTTGAAATAAAAACATTAAAAATGTTGTAACAGTCACTTATGATCAACTTTATGCATTAACTTCCTTCCATTACTGTTTTTTTCTATCCATTAATTCATCACATTTGGATGTACATCACAATACAAAAAAAGATCTGCCGTTTCACAGCGAATAACTGCATTTTAAAACAAAGTATTAAATGTTTATTAATTTATCAAAAAATATTGATTTATATTACAAGTAGTAACTTTACCAGTTAGACAAAATGGTATATTATTAGCCATTTATAAGTTATTGGTCATAACAAGAAAGTAATAATCAGTTCTTCCCTAAAACCACTGCACACGTTTGTTGATGAAAACATTTTCACATCGCTTAGTGACTCTTGCTCCAAAGGATGCATCTTTAAAGAAGAAAAAAAAAAAGGTTGTAGACAGTGTATTTACAGATCTGCTCTTTATTAGTTTGAGCTGTTCTCTGGAGCATCATGACATTTGCTGCTGCTGGGGCTAATAAGAAAAGTTATGGTATCATGAGGATTCTATTGATTCAGCTCTCAGATTTAACCTTCACAGACGTGAAAGGATCCTGAGATGTCACGCAGTAATCCCTCACCTGCGCTGAACGTCCAGGTAATCTAACTCCACTAAATCCCTCAGAAAAGTGCAGAAGTTGCCATAGAGAAGGGCTGCGGCTCAAGACAAAATGAGAATTTTGGATGATTCATGGTTCCTTAGAAGCTTAAGATGATGTAAACAGATGTTTTTAAAGATAAAAAACATAGATTTATCAAGAGCTGCTAATATCGGTCTTTTCTGTCGCTGTACCCTCTGAAGAGTTCATTATTGAATGAAGTGAGGAGCGTGTTGAAGTTCTCAAACACCATGAAGAAAACAGGAAGCTGTGTAAACAGCCAGGGCCACTGGCACAGTCTTTTCCCCCAAGTCTATCACAAAAGCTACGGTTGATGCTGCTGCTTCCACCGCGACCTCATTTGCATGCAACTGCCATAGTGTATTTTGGCTGCTCAGCCTCCGGCTCCGAATGTCTGCTTGATCGATAGCCAGTGAGAGCCCATATGTTTCAAAGGAAGTCAGACTTGAGCGTAATTTTATGGAAAGTGTGTTTTAAAACTGTGGTGTGATTGGTGATGCTGAAGGACATGTAACTAAAGACATCTGCAAAGCATTCAGAGGGAACAAGTAGCTGTCTGGCGGAACCGCAAGGTGCACCGAGTCAGACTTTGCCAATGCTCCCGTTAATCTGGCGGTTCTATTAAACGTGCCCAGAATGCCAGAGCAAATGATGTCTGAGCCCTCAACCATTAGGGATTCAAATCAAGCCACTCGATCCCACAACCAATCAGCAGCGTATCTGTACGAGGACACTGAAATGTCTCATTAAAACAGATTTCAAACTTTTCCTGTTCACAGAGAAAAATTCCCAGCAGTCCAAAACTTGGCAAATGCCAAAATTTATGAAGGATCTCTTCATATGGCCAAAGTTCAGCCTCTTTGATTTCTATTATGTGGCCACCAAGCGGCAACCTTCCGGTCTCTCTTGAAACCAACAAGGAAGTGACTAAAACTGCAATTCATCGACTGGCCGCTAGAGACCAGCTTCAAAAGGGAGTCAATCCCATAGAACCCCCATGTTAAAATGCCCAACTTTACAGCAGAAAAAAATATGTTTACAGCCTGGTACAAAAAGTGGTTTTGGTCTATATAGTTAATTTTGCCCTTCATGACAACTGTGAGGGTGTGAGTTTTTATTTTACTAAGCATTAAATGATGTGTAATTAAGGGCGTGGCCACTTGAGTGACAGGTGGATTGCTGCTGATGTAACCACCGTCGAGCTAGGCGGGCGAGGTTTTAGCAACCAGCTCCACCCACTTCCCGCCTCTTTGCCCATTTTCGATTACCCGAGAGTGACGCGCTGCCAAGATGGCGACGGCCGGTTACGCCCACTTTGGGCTTCAAAAATGCTCTTCAGAAACCTACGGGTGACATCACGGACCATAGGCATGTGTCAATATTTATTAAAAAAAATTAATCCGTAACCATGGAAACAATGCAGGCTGCACAACATATTTCTAACACCTGAAGCAAAATAGCTACTACTGAAACAGAGGTTTTCAAAATTTTTAATTGTGAAGGATCCATTTACTAATATATACTATAAAGGCGGCTGTATATTTTCATTTACAAAGACTGACAGAGTGAGGGAAAATATGACTAATTATATAATAAACAAAAACACAAAAAACCGGACATAACTTTCTACCGACTGTTAATGTTAGATATGTGACTATAAATACTGTTTAAAAGTTTATACATATAGCAAAAACAGTATTATTGGGAAATATTATTACACTGTAAAATTATGTTTCAATTTTAATATTCTTTAAAACTTTAATTTATTCCTGTAATGGCAAAGCTCAATTTTCAGCAGCCATTACTCGTCTTCAGTTCAGTGTCACATTATCCTTCAGAAACCATTCTAATATTCTGATCTGGTGCTCAACATGTCTTCTTATTATCAATGCTGAAAACAGTTGTGTTGCCTAATATTTTTGCAGAAACTGTGATCAAGAAACAAGAACAAGAAAGTAATAATCAACTTATTGGTTTGAAAACTCCTGCATGAAAATAAGATGCCATAGAAGTGAAATTTTTTTCTGCAATAACAATAAATAATATTCAAAATTCATATGGTCTCATTTAATTCAAATGTATTTTTGCTTTGGATAGAAATATCTGTCAAAAGCATTCATTATTTAAGAAGAAATGATGACTGAAGACTATGGCAAAAGACAATCTAACACTTCCGCTTTTGGCATGAATTAACCCAAACATTACAATCATTATGATATCCTCAGGAGAAAGAAAGCATGTCCCAAACAACCTTAAAAAAAAAAAAAGTTGTGCTATCATGACACAAGGGTTGATCTTAGCAGAACGCAGCAGATTTACAGAAAAAAAACAAAAAATCATTTTTCAGCTCTTGTTCAGTTGGTCACTTCTCCACACTAAATAAAATACTGTAAGCAGTAAGGAGATAATATGGAGAGAGAGAGACGAGAGCGGACGACTACACATCACCTGTGTAAAGTGTAAAACACCAAAGACGCTTTAATATGTTGTGCGTTTCAATAGACCGGTCCCGACCGCACAGAGTAGCATTATAACAGATCTTTCAAATGTATCTAGTATGATAAAACACCGCTGCTTTTTCCCCCCACACATACCCACTTCCGGAAGGAGCGGAAGCGGTCGACTGTGGCATAATAAAAGCTCCGCTGCTTTCGAGCCGTGTGTCACGCTCGTTCAGCTGCCTCGTTCGCTTCGACAGCTTTCAGCCGCACCCTGCTTCATTCTACTACGTTAATCAATCATTAGCTCATCCATGAACATGATTTCTGCCCGAGTCTCGTCAGATTGCATCGGCTCTGGGGATGAAGACGACAACTCCCATGATTCCACACTCAGTCACGGCGTCATCAAACTACACCTTTGTCTCTTAGTTTATTTTGAATACGCGTCCTCTAGCGGCGAAAATTACATATTGTGCCTCTAAGGATTTGTACAATATGAGCTCACTGTCATAAGGACATAAATGAACATTATCTATACTACTGAGGAGTATAAATAAACCGTAAGCAGCCCTGGGTCCACAACACAGCCTGGGAATAGTGACGGTAAGCTGGGTAGGAGCACTAAGAACAGATTAGGCAAAGCCTTTATTAGCCAGGGATTCCAGGTTCAGAGTCTGTTTATTTAGGGACTCCTCCTACTGCAAACAAGATCCTGACCCTAAAGTTCAAAAGAGAGGATGGAGGGTTAAGGCCGGAGTGGAGAAACGTCAACACATTCATGCTAGAAAATTCTGCAGGATGCTTTTTAAACAAATACAATGAACACACAAATAATTTTACCGTCTTTTTCACAGATGATAGCATCTAAAACATACAAAGAAAGACACATATGTGGCTAGAAGGGTTAGACACACAGATCCTCAATCGAAGTTTAAACATTTGCATATGACACCGTTCTGAACCAAACACTTTGCATTTCAGTGTTACCAAGGACAGGCTCTGCCTTCAGGATGATATTTCGTGCCACACAGATTCAGGGCTTTTTCAGCCCTGCATACAACTAGACACTAGGCAGGCTACAAGTGTTCACTCAAAACCTGGATATTTGAAATGCAAATTGGTTCCTGTGCTGACCTACTAATGTGCTTTTAGCGTCTCTCTATTTTTTTCTTGCTTCTCAACCCAACAAAATAATCTTTTCAAACCCATTTGAAAGCGTGAAGCAAAAGGCGGACATAAAACAAACCAAAAACACGGAGAATAGAAACTAAAGACACAATTTTTCAGCTTCTGTGACACTAGTCTTGTGTAACATCTGGTGATCAATGACTCAAATATGAGCAGATGCCCACAGAAAGTGTACAGTTCTGATGATAGTGAGCCCAGAGGTCTTATCAAATGTAATTTGGCTAGGTTTACTTGGTTTGACCTTATTGGGTAAACTGGTTACCTAGCCAAAATGAAGCATGAATACAGTGAGTCTTATTTAGATCATTACTATTAAAAAGCAAAAACTCTTTTGTTTTCCTTTACAATATTTTCCACAAAGCCAGAAATGTACGTAATCGCAGATGGATCGACGCGAAAACACTGTCTGAAATCAGTTTCAAATTAAAAAATAAAAAGTGTTCAGTATAACCAACATGTCATAACCTACGTTAGATGAAACAGGATTTAATTTCTCACGAAAATGAAAACATAATTGTGAGTGACAGATCAAGTCTGTTCAGCAGGCTGTAAAGATTTTAACCTCACTGTTGCGATACAGAAAATATGTCTTTCCAAAAAATTCCTGGTGACAAACCTCTGGAAATATGCGTTGTGAAAACTATACAGTATTGCACAGACTATGTCTATCCCTCACTGCCTCGTTTTCATTCTAATGAATATACTAAAAAAATTAAAAATAAGAAAATATTAAATAAATGTTTAATAAATATTTATATTAAATCACTTAACCCTGACTAAGGTCTTATTGCTTGTGAATCATTATCTGATATTAAGACCTACAGGAGGTTTGTGTCTGGAACCACCCTTTAAACCCACTACTGCATGCTGATTCACATGGTTTTCTCTAGGAGAGCTCTCAAAGCTGATCCAAGCAGGTAATGTGAAGCATGTGTGTTTCAATTGACCCCATATTACTTATACCACAAATAATGATAAGCCCCTGGAAAGACAGGCTGACAGGAGCACAATGCTGAATTTTGTTTTTATCAAGTTTGCTTTATACCTGGAAAAAAAAACTATAACTACTGATAGCAATGCAATAATTCTGACCTCATACACCAGGTGTGTAGACAGAAATATTCATATTTCACATAATATGAGTCTCAAGGGTCAATCCCACCTTCATAGTTACAGGCATGGCTGATCAATTTGATTGATTAAGAG